ACTGGGTCGACCTAGGAGCCAAAGTCATTAAAAAAATTGAAACCACTGGGGACTTGAAACCACTGGCGTAGCAAGCCCAGGTGGTAACCAGTAGGGAAAATTTCCTGCCATTCCCTAAAAACACACACACAAACACACTTACTTTTATGTTGAAAACACATATTTTTGGCCATTTTGGCAACCTTTAGTGACGACACCCGGTGCGACCAGTACCCCCCCCCCCCCCCCAACAAGCCCCTGACTACGCCTCTGACTACCCACAACCTTCGGATCTAAAGGTGATCATCTAGCCGCTACATCACGGTGGCTCCTCAGTGATACTCAATAACGGTGTCTACTTTATGCAATGTGTTTTGTTTCAGCTCTGCTGCAATAGACCCTAATGTTGTGTATTAACTGTATCGACATCTTTTAGGTATAGAGCAAATACAATACTTATTATTTTAAAGTCTTTGGATCACTATTTGCTGTACCAGAATAAAAAATCAGCACTTCCGGTACTTGTACTAAGATGGTAGGCAGTTGACAAAACAATCGCTGGATTGCAGTTGCTGGACTAATGTTGTTCAAAATTCAGTTTACAAATTTATAAATTTAGTTTTTTAATTTTTGGACTGCATAATTGTGGATTTCTTACCCAACCAATATTATGATAAAATATGGCACTTTAATTAGGTTTGTGTATGATATGTGTAGCAACTACAGTCACTGACTGAGTCAGTTCAGTCACTAACTGACTAACCTGTCTCAGTTATGCGACGATCATCCGCGACTTCAGCCATCAGACTTCGCAGACGTAGTGAAGATTAGTTGATGGCCCCAAGTTCTTTACTATTGGTATCACTGGATTTCGCCAGTCTGTGAGAATGAACAGTGTCTTGTCGTTGGTGTAGTGTATCTTATTATTCGGTATCGTATCCTGTATTGCTCCCCCACCAGTCAGAATTAGAGAAACATCTCGTACACCATATATAAATTTTATTCTCAGTCTTTGTCTGTGAACTGTGATACCAGTGCCAGACATGGCCGTTAAGACAAACCATAAAATAAAATTTGTAACCATTGAAAATAAATGTCTGAGAAGGGCTGCAGGATTTGATTTGGAAATATTTATCAAAGACTTGACTTGGAATTTGATGACAATGACTTGAGACTTGACTTGGAACTTGATGACAATGACTTGAGACTTGACTTGGACTTGAAGGGTGATGACAGTCCAATCTCTGCTAGTAACTGCTGTTGCTACATTCTATTACATTAATTAAGGTAGCATTTAAGCTATTTAATTATTTGTTTTTACTGTATTTGGCACAAGAGGCTGTTTCCATAATCTGTAGCCCCCCGTGTGGGTTCCGGGGCCCCATTGTAGGGGAAAACAAGAATAGACCCACTGCCTACCCAAAAGCATGTCGTAAGAGTCGACTAATTGGGGAGCTTCCTTTGAAGTCGGAGTGCATCTGCCGGAGAGGCAAGGAACCAACAGTCTGTATTCAAGAGAATGAGATCTGTAAAACTGATGCACACGCAACACTCAGGTTCTGGAGCAGGACTGCAGTTCAGTAGTGGACGAACAACCAGAACTTTCCGCCAGAGTGTACAGCTGGTGAACGTGAAGAAGAAGAATAATCTGTAGCATGAGTTCTCAGTGGCTCCTGTATTAATTTTACTTTACTTACTTTACTTAGTTGCTCCTCTTCTACTTTTAAGTTGTAGAGGTTTGCCAGAGAGATCGCCAGACTTCTCTATCAGCATTATGTTTTAATTTTGTCTATCCAACAATGCTGTATGGCTTCAAGGGCCCCATTGTGGGGAAAAACAAGAATAGACCCACTGCCTCCCCAATGAGCATGTCACAGGAGTTGACCACCTGGAGGCTTCCTTTGAAGTCAGAATGCATCTGCTTGAGAGGCAATGAACCAAGAGTCTGCATACAAATAAGGCAGATCGGTAAATGAATGTGCATGCAACTCTCAGGTTCTGGAACAAGACTAAAGTCTAGACGTAGGCGAACACCCAGAATTTTATGCTGAAGTTGAAAGCAGTGAATATTAAGAAGAAGACGTAATTGATGCTGCCATTATCAGTGAATTTGATGTGAGAATACCAGATTCTTTTTGTGAGTTCCTGGGCCCCATTGTGGGAAGAACAAGAATAGACCCACTGCTTCCCCATCAAGCATGTAGCAGGAGTTGATTATTTGGGGGCTTTCTTTGAAGTCAGAGTGCTGCATCATACCGAATATCAAGGAGCAACCAGGCCCTGGCACAAAGCCAAAATCCAAATGGACGAACAACCAGGACTTTCCGTCAGAGCTTACAGCTGGTGAACATAGAAGAAGAAGATTTACAGATCTCTTTTTGTTAGCCCTTGCATGTTTTAGAGAGCAATATCATGAAGCAGATCTTTCACAGGATGCTGCTGTTAGTTCAAAAGCTTTAATTGTTTTTCTTCTTGGGTGATTGCAGAATTTTCTCATGACTCACATTTCTGGACAACAAGACTGTTAAAATTGGAGAAGACTGAGAAGCTTGTATGTAGTTAAAAACCCTGGGTCAGACATCAGTGCAGATATGCTACTGTTCTTCAAAGTATGAGTACTTCAGACCAGGATCAGACTCCAGTTAATGTTAATTTATCCACTGATATTGGAGAGACTTTTAAAAGACGTTCTGTGATGAAGAGTTAAAGAAGTGTAGATAGGAGGTTGTGAGAGAATCATGTCGTTGTTCAAACGTCTGCTGAACAAAAATTCAGAGGATGTCAAGTCTCCAGGGACACCTCCTCATGGGATGCAAACTATGGGAGCGCAGCTTCAGCGGAAGTTTGCCAAGGGTATTCAGTACAACAGTAAGTAGCAAGAGGCTTGATCTGTATACATCTTGTTCTGTTTCTCATTTGTGTCACAGGTTAAAAGGTTAAAGTCACGAGGATCGACTTCATTACACCCAATTTCCCATGTAGGTTCCGGGGCCCTATTATAGGAAAAACAAGAATAGACCCACTGCCTACCCAAAGGCATGTTGTAAGAGTAGACTAATTGGGAGCTTCCTTTGAAGTCGGACTGCATCTGCCTGAGAGGCAAGAAACCAACAGTCTGCATTCAAGTGAGTCAGATCTGTAAAACAGATGCACATGCAACACTCAGATTCTGGAACAGGACTGCATCCAGAAGTGGATGAACAGTGAGAACTTTCCGCCAGAGTTTACAGCTGGTGAACGAAAAGAAGAAGAAGAAGATTGCACCCAGTTTTATCCCATTTATCTCAGTCTCTCTCCATAGAAGCCGCCTGCCGAGAGCATAATAAAGAGCATGAACTCCATAGCTCTGGCCATAATCCCCATGGATCTCTGTAAAAACTGCACCTGTGAACTGACCGGCCCTGCCATGAAGTGAACTCACGACCTTGAGTGTGCTAGGCAAACAACTTTGCCACTGAGACCACCATCATTTGTATCAGGGTAGAGTAGTTGAAATGCCCTTACTTCTTTTTCCGTCTTAACATTCACCGGCTGTAAACTCTTAATGCTAAGAAGAAAAAGAAGAAGAATAGAGAAGTACTAGGTTCGGAGAAATGTCTACACCAGTCTCACTTATATATAAATGCCCTTTTTAGTTTACACCTCAGAGTTCTAATGCATTTCTTCTCCTTCTTTGCATTCATTGGCTGTTGACTTCTGCAGAAAGTTCTTGCTGTTCATCCGCTTCTGAACTTTAGTCTCTTTCCAGAACTTGAGTGTTGCATGCACATCTTTTTTACAGATCTGGCATATTTACATGCAGACTGTTGGTTTCTTGCCTCTCAGGCAGATGCACCCTGACTTAGAAGGAAACTCCCTAATTAGTCGACTTTTACGACATGCTTGTTAAGGAGGCAGTAAGTCTCTTCTTTTTTTTCCCTGTAAATGGGCCCTGGAACCTATACCGGTAGCTAATGCTTTTGACTTCTAAAGTTGAAACTCAGTCATTCAGAATCTTCATCATCATTCACCAAACTCCCCAGTAGCTGAATTTATCATTTTTATCATTTTCACTGTCATCATCAGCAGCAGAAGCGGCATTATGAATTTATTAATAATGCTGTAATTGGAGCTTTTTTTTTTTTTTTTTTTTTGAAAAAAGATTGAAAAAAATTGTTTAAATTTTCCAGTGAAAATAGTTATCCGAGGGGACAAAAATGTTGGGAAGACTTGTCTGTTTTATCGCCTGCAAGGTCAAAAGTTCAAGGAGGAGTACATACCAACAGATGAGATTCAGGTTAGTGATTGTACATCCTGGACTGTCTTATTTATTATCAGAACTAGGACAGCTGTCTAAGTGCTCAGTCTCTTACTTATGTACTGTCTGAAATGGTTAAATAACAACAAATTCTAGCAAATGGATAAAAGTTAACTTCTAAATGTTCAGTCTCTTATTCATGTATTGCCTGATATGGTTAGATAACAACTAATTAAAACAAATTCTAATAACGTTTTGAAGACATGGTTCTTTACTATAGCAGCAGTCAGTGTGAATCATGGACCATTTGATCAGCTCTTCTTCTACATTTGCATTAGCCCTTAAAAGAATGTTTGACACGTTAATTGTGGTTTGCAGCTAGGCTGTGATATCTGCATATTTCGGCCCACATATTCGATTTCAGCAAACCTACCTTTAGTGATGTGCTTGTTAGGGGTGGGGTTTTGGGATGTCTACTCCTCCCTCTCCCCAAATGGGGCCCGAATCTCACAAGGGGAGTCAAGGCTAAACAAGAAAGTCAAAGATTTGACTGATAGTTTTTGTTTTCTAATGCTAATGTCTTAACCATGTTCTGTCCTATGCGTGTTAACTTGATCCACCAGGTTTTGTAACTCCTCATTGCTTTCTGATAGTAATATTATGTCATTTGCTTCATGATTGTGATTATTGTAACTGATTTCTTAGGATATCTCCTGTGAAACCTTCAAATACTGAAACATTTAAGGTGATGTAAAAGATTCTTTTTATTTTCACTTATGTGCAGGTGGCATCAATACAGTGGAATTATCGGGCCACCGATGATGTGGTGAAAGTCGAAGTGTGGGATGTGGTAGACAAAGGAAGGAAGAGACGTCGGCAGGATGGACTGAAGACGGAGAATGCTGAAAATGGTGTATGTTTTTTTCTCACTACATTAGTTTTGCAGATTGTCTTATTTTTCATCTTTAGCATTTTATCATTTTCTATGGTCAGATCAGCCATACCTATATCCACACATTCCTTTCCTGTCTTCATTCCTCAATTCTTTGTTTTCCTCATTTCTTTTTCATGTCTGTGAATGTAATGGGGAGTAAACAAATAAATAATTTAAGTAGAAGTATTCCATACTTTTTATGAAACGTTTCTGCCACTGCACTCAAGACAAGATCATAAGTGCTCAGTCTCAGACAGAAGTCAAAGGATGAACTGAGCCATGAATTGAGGATTTAGTTTTATTGTTGGTCTCTAAAGGTTTTGTCTGTAATGCAGAGAAACTCATTAAACTGAAGTGATTCAATATCTGAAGTGAGACTACACAATTATATGTTGGACATATCCGTTCTTTGGGTAAGTTCATCTCTTGAAGGTAGACTGACACCCACTAAGCTGTTGCATAGGGCCTTTCGAGGGGCACCATATGTTGTTGAAGAGGAGAAATGGCGTCACAACAGTGGGGCTGTCTGATGTCTTGTGAAACTAACTAGGAAGGCTATCCGGTTCAACAAATACCAGAAGTTCAGTGTTCATTGAAAGGAGCAAATGTCGCAGCTCTGCTGTAAACAGGCACAACTCAGTTATGTGCAGAATAAAAAAATACTTGCAAATGACGAAGAAAAATAATAATCATAGTCTTTGTCAAGTTGCTGTTGGTAGTCCGGTGCTGTTGTTAAGAGATTTCAATGATCTGTAGCTTCTTATTACTGTCTATTCAGTGAGTACTCAAGTGAAGCAAATTGTTTACAAAATGAACATAATCTTTTGTTCCATTTACAGAACCCTGATGAGCCATGCCTAGATGCAGAATTTTTGGATGTTTACAAAGGAACTCACGGAGTCATCTTTGTTTTTGACATAACCAAGCAGTGGTAAATATACAAATATAATTACGTTAATAAGTTTTCAGTGTGACTTTATGCTTGTGTGGGCCGCAGTGTATACCAAGATGAGAGAACAGATCACAACAACAAAAATAAAAAATAAATTTAAAAAAAAACACAATACACAGGGAAATAGATTTCTAGCACTGGAAATATGTGGAAATAAAATAAATTAAACCCAGTACTACTGCTTTATGTGGAAGAAACATGGGGAACAACTGAAGGAATTACTTGAAAGTTTACACATTCATTTACTAATGCCTGTCCAAAATAGAAGGAATTAATTAGTAGTAATGCTTATTAATTCTTATTCCGAAAAGCCTGATAATAAATGACTGGAAAGTCCTTTCACCGGAACCTTAGGGGGAAAAATATGAAGACCGAAGACATAAAGAAACCAGCAACAGAGTATTAGAGATAGAGTTGAGTAATATAGGGAGGACATGGATATGTAGATATACCTGGATACAGAGGACTTCAATGAGCTGCTCTTTGCAGACGATCAATGCATATTTCACAGTGATAGTAAACAGCTGCAAGACCACATGAACCTACTACACGACAGTTGCCTCAAGCATCATATGAAGATCAATACTGAAAAGACAGAAGTCATGAGCATAAGTAGAGAGCAACAGACCATCGACATAAAGATTCTAGATCACAGCCTAAAACAAGTGCAAGAATTTAAATACCTGGGAAGTATCTTTACATCCAATGGTAAAATAGACAGAGAGATTGAAGCAAGAATCCAACAAGCCAACAATGTCGCATACCAGCTTGCCCCAATTTTAAAACACCCTGCTGTCCCAGCTGAGATAAAAAGACAAATTATAAATACAATCTTTATACCGACATTAGGTTATCAATGTCAGACTTGGACATTAACAAAAGAACATGAGAGAAGACTAACCACCTGTGAAATGAGATGTTTGAGAATGGCTGCGAATAAAACCAGAAGAGATCGAGTGAGAAACGATGTGATTACAAGAACTATTGGAACCATACCCATCGTTAAATTTATTGAGAAGCAAAGAATGAAATGGTTTGGTCACCTAATGAGAATGGAACCAATGATGCCAGCATCAAGAGCATACAACATGAAAATCGAAACAACAAGAGGCAGGGGAAGACCAAGAAGAAGATGGATTGAAGGAGTCACGGACAACTTGAGACTTCATAACATCACGGCATATGAAGCGACTGAGCGCGCCCTGGCTCGGTTGCCGATCATCTGATAGACTGCGACGCCTAGCGGCACAAGCAGATTTTGACAAAAGAAAGAAGAAGAAGACAGAGGCTTAACCCTTTCGCCACTAGAAGCTGCAAAACCGACACTTTCGGTTGGGCCCAAGTCCCCATAAATGTCATTTTTCCAACTTATCTGTAGTGGCGTGTTTAGAAGACACATAGTTAATGCTATTCTCTGTTTTTGCACCTGCGCAAACATCTAGGAGATCTTGATAAGACAGCATTAACTAAAAATAGCATTTACGTGGTTTTTTTTTTGAGCCAAACAGTTGTAAAGCGGCATGTCACCCAATACATATGTTTTTTTTTCTTTTTCTTTTTTTAATTCCCTGGAATATACTGCATTTAATGCTTCACCCTGTTCATGTTTTTGATTACTTCCTTCATCTATTTTTTAAAAACACAAAACATATGTAGATAAATACATTTTTAGTGACCTGTGTAAACATTTTTATTTAAGGATTTTAAAAATTGAATTTCAGCAGGGGCATGACCATTTTGTTCAGCTTTACTGGGACAAAAGGGTTGAGTATACACACACAGAGATTACCTCCATGAACACACAACACATGGACGTGGAGACAGATATCAACACAGAGACACATGAACACTGACGCTCACAGAGATCTGATGCAAGACACCCATGGTCACATACATGTACATACAGTATAGGCAAAGCATATTTTGTCTGAGAGAGAAAGTATCAGTTAACCTTTCATTGACAGTTGAAATGTGAATATACTGGCGTGTGCATTTGTCATTATTCTGAAAATACTTCATTAACATAGAAACAGGAGTTAAAAAAATGTGTTGTTTACTGAGTTGAGTTGAGTCATGCATGAACTGACATCACAGCATACAAGACCTTCCTCACCCTCATCTTCAGCAGAAGAGTTCCAGTTTCTGTGGTACCAGTAACAGTCTGATCATATACATCGTAGCACTCAAGACATTCCTTTATGTGTCCTGTCCTCGTCTTCAGCAGCAGAGTTCCAGTTTCTGTGGTACCAGTAACAGTCTGATCATATACATCGTAGCACTCAAGACATTCCTTTATGTGTCCTGTCCTCGTCTTCAGCAGCAGAGTTCCAGTTTCTGTGGTACCAGTAACAGTCTGATCATATACATCGTAGCACTCAAGACATTCCTTTATGTGTCCTGTCCTCGTCTTCAGCAGCCAGTAAAGAGTTCCAGTTTCAACGGTACCAGTAGCAGTCTGATTATGTGCTTGTTTTGCCTTTCTTCTGAATGAGTCAGGCAGATCTCCATTTCACACACAGCCTTCCCCCCCCCCCTTCCACCACCATTCTCTCCAACCTTTAATGATTTATTTTCACGTCTGGGTTGTTTGCTTGCTTTAGAAGGGTCTTGGCTACATCTAGCTTAGCCATTTAATCACTACCAGGTTGTGCAGCCCAAGCCAATCTGTCTGCCTGCTCATTCCCGGCACACATGCATTTCCTGAAGAAAATATCCAAAGAACGCTAACTACTGGGAACTTCTTAAGCCATGCTTGCCACTCCGAACAGAGGATGCATGCTGCAACATCATGTCACTAATCTTGACAAATCAGTGTTGGACATGGACCTGAATAAACAAAGTGCAAATCTAATAAATGTGTATCATTATGGATTTTTCTGTCACAGGACCTTTAGTTATGTGGAGCGAGAGATAGAGAAGGTCCCAAGTCAGCTGCCTGTTCTAGTACTGGGCAATCACAGGGATATGGGTCACCACAGGACAGTCACCGAAGAGAAGGCAAATTTCCTGGTGGAGCAGTATCAAAGGGACAGGTAGGTGGATGCGTAGATTTTCATTGTGTAAGCTATGTTTGGACCTTCTAAAAGACTGTGTTTTCATTCTGACTGTATCTTTTATAAACACAACTGCAAGAAATTATGGATATAATTGTAACAGACAGTGAAAACAGGGGTCTTTAAACAGCAGAAAAACAGAAGTAATAGAAATTACAAAGAAAACTAACCCTCCAAAATACAACATCAAAGTAAATGGGACAAAATTCAAGCAAGTTGATATGATAAGAGCAGTAAAGTGAAAACGGAAAGTGAAAACAAGGGTCTTTAAACAGCAGAAAAACAGAAGTAATAGTAATTACAAAGAAAACTAACCCTCCAAAATGCAACATCAAAGTAAATGGGACAAACTTCAAGCAAGTTGATATGATAAGAGCAGTAACGGATCACACGTGATGTTTTATGTTGGGATTGAAAGAGTTAAGGGCAGTAACTGATCACACGTGATGTTTTAGTTGGGACTAAAGGAGTTAACCCTATCAGACCTGAGGCCCTGAGCCTAACTGCCCACTCTACCTGAACTCCAGGGCATTAACAAAAAAAAAAATCAACATGATATACAAAAATATTAGTTACTTACAAACAAGTGGCTATAATAAGAAGAAACTTGGAGACATTGTAGAAAATTGGTTTACCTTTCATCTAGCGCCAATATTCCACCTTTGAGTGCCAATCCACTAAGCAGGATCAGCCTTGTTTCACAAAGTGAGCACCAGATGTTGCTGTTTGAGGGACACACTCCCTTATCTTACAATCAATCTAGTTTTAAATCTATAATTTTCAAGATTCTTCTCATCATTCGAGCTCTCACTGACTGTCACTTCAACTGGGAACGTATTCTTCATGAAATTCTGACTCCTCAGAGTCTGAATCAACCAAAGTATCGATCACCTGATGGACTGTGAAAAGCCTAGACCTACTTCACTTTCCTGTTGAAATGCTTGATTCATCAGCCGCTAGTTTCATTATGAATTTTCACAAGTTTTTCACGTTAAACCACACAGAGTAAGTCCAAACACACGTAGTCACACATTTGGAATGACTATCCACGAGGTCTGACCACGATTGGCTAGTTACTTTTAGTTTGTGACACATTGTTTTCCCATAGTACTCAAAGTACCGACAATGAGGTACAGCGGTTTAGTGGAAGCTGAGGAAATTACTGCAGAAGTGGTACATTGGTCTGGTAGAGTTAAATGCAGTAACTGATCACACATGATGTTTTGGTTGGGACTGAAAGAGTTAAGGACAGTAACTGATCACACATGATGTTTTGGTTGGGACTGAAAGAGTTAAGGGCAGTAACTGATCACACATGATGTTTTGGTTGGGACTGAAAGAGTTAAAGGCAAACAAAGAAGAAGAAGCACATCACTCCACGTTCTCTTTATCTTATTCTTCTTCTTCTTTTGTCAAAATCTGCTTGTGCCGCTAGGCGTCGCAGTCTATCAGATGATCGGCAACCGAGCCAGGGCGCGCTCAGTCGCTTCATATGCCGTGATGTTATGAAGTCTGAAGTTGTCCGTGACTCCTTCAATCCATCTTCTTCTTGGTCTTCCCCTGCCTCTTGTTGTTTCGATTTTGATCTTATTAACCTTTTTATTATCATCTGCATTTATTTTAAAGTCTCCTTCTGTGTTTTTTTTAAAATTAAACCTGGTAATGTTAAATAATTGCTGATGAATTACCCGTCACTGTCATGAATTGAATCTTTATCTTCACATTGGCAGACCCGAAGGTTCTGGAAAAATCCACTATGCTGAGTCTTCCATGCGCAATGGGTTTGGTTTGAAGTACCTGCACATGTTCTTCAATTTGCCATTTCTTCAGCTGCAGGTGTGAAACGATTGTCTGTACAGATACATTTGTGCTGTCTGTGTCTGTATGCTTGTGTGCGCGCACATGTGAAACGATTGTCTGTACAGATACATTTGTGCTGTCTGTGTCTGTATGCGTGCATGCGCGCACGTGTGTAATATATATATATATATATATTTTGTAATGCTTGTTTGTACATAGAACACATTTTTTATGTGGTAATAATTATTTGATTGATTTGCGTTGGCCAATTGATTGATTCAAACACTGTCTAGTTGTCTGGCTGTCTGCTTGGATGAGTGTGTATGTATATGAGAGAGAAGGCGAATAAGGCAGTTTGTCTTTTTCCTATAGTTGTATATAATGTTAACTGATGAACATTACATTCGATGATTTCAAGGCAGGGGAAGAAAAGAGAGAAATGTCTGTGCAACTGCTTGTTAAAAGTTAGTTATGTATCCTTTACAGGACATTGCAGAACCAACCCCAGCATTTTTTGGCTGTTGTGGTTTTTCTAGGCAGATTTATGTCCAGTAGTTTGCCAGTACTTTCTGGATGGTCTGCTTCTCGATACCACTGTGGAAACCAGCACAAGGCCCGCTGCTGGGATCGAACCCAGGACCCTGGCATTACGAAGCTCATTCGCAATGCCTCAGCCACAGAAGCCGCCTTGTATCATCAGTTATATGACAAAAGAAAATGGTAATATATTGGGCAGATCAGGAAGAGAAACAGACAGAAAATCACCAAACAGATTGATGAAACAGGGACATTCAAAAGAAACACTGAGATGAAAGCTGTTGAGAGAGGCCAAGAGCCTTGGAGTGGATTCTTTTCCTGATTTTGAGAGGGTTACACAGGATAGAATGGAATGGAGGACTGGACTGTGAACACAACATGATTTATAATATCACAGCAGGTTGATGAGGATGATACAAGTAATGTTCTACTCTCACTTAAAAAAAAAAATAAAAACTTGTTCTAGGCTGTGAGAAAATACTAAGAGCACCATATGACACTATCTTCCTGCCAACACAGTGCTATCAGTGCCAGGGCTGGACTGTGACAGAAAAAGAGAACAGAAAATGGGCTCTTAATATAACAAAAACAGATGCAATTAGAAACAATAAAATCTGAGCGAAAAAAAAGAGGTAGCGGCAGCTGTGGATTTTATTAGAAAACAAGTAACATGGTTTGGCCATATGACGCTGGTGCCAACAAAGCGATGATGTACATACAGATCAGGCTGGAAGTGAAGCAGAGGCAGACCATGCAAACTATGGACAGTTGGAATGAAAAAGTCTTTGAGAATCTACATTTACGAAGCACACAAGCACTTTCCCATAAATTATACTTGACCTCGACACCGCAGGGCATGAGAGGATCAAAATTATGATGATAATATGAGAGATCCTAGAATGATGATATATTTTGCTATGGTTTTTCCAGTTGAACTGATAGCTCTTTTCCGCCAATAGGATGTCATTTATCAACATCTTCATTTGTCTTTGAGCTGCAGAAGTCGTTTTGAAACATGGTTCTATGTTGCCTGTTAGCCAGAGACCAGTGGGCCAGCAGTCTTTTATACCTAACTTAAGAAGACCTTCTCCTTATAGTCAGTGTGGCATGGTGTTGGCAGTCATGTCTATCCACAACCTTCTGTCTCATGTACTTTCAGTCAGTTCTGATGCAGATGATTTTGTCACAGACCTCTGATTGACCTTGATGGTCCATGGCTTGCTGGGTGGGCCTCTGACAGACAATCTACCTATTATACACTGAACTCCATGCTATGATGTCACACTGTCCAGCATCGTCTCTCTCAGTGTCCTTCTGCCTTTCTTCCTTTTTGCTTTCCCACTGTAATGATGCACTGTAGTTTTCTTCTTCTCATATGACATAACCAGTGAATGTAGATTGTCAAGAACTACCAACAAAAATGAGTTTTTCAGGAAGTCGCTGGTTTTTTTTTTAACTAGAGCTAAGCAGTTTGTGTTCTCTGTAACACTCAGCATATGGCCAACCAGTATGTAGAAAGAGAGTTAAGACAGAAGCAATGAAACCTGTTGCAGTAAAGTAGATCTTGTCACATTGAATTGTCTTTATAAGTCAGTCAGGTGCCATCTCCACAGTAAGTGAATCCACAACGCATCCTGTCTCTTTTGTCTATGTAGTACACTCTCTTACTCAGCCTGCTGTTCATCCATCTCTTGATGATATTGCCTTCCCACTTGTCGCCTTTAACAGAATTTGAATCCATCGGCTGGTTTGTCCGCTCTGGGCGGCTAGCAGAAGCTTTACCACTCAAAGATTTTAAAAAAAGATCTCTGTCTGAAGATACCCTCTGTTCAACCTCGGAGGGACAAATAATTAGGGCACTTGTAATCATGTCACCAGGCCGTTGTAACCTAAATCCTGTGTAGGTAATTACAAGTAACATAATTATATTTGTATTCCTGTGTGTATGTGTGTGTGTGTATATATACATATATATTTGTATGTATATATATCTTTATATATGTGTATATATACATATATATTTGTATGTATATATATCTTTATATATGTGTATATATGTATGTGTGTATATTTATGTATGTATGTATATATATCTATACAAACACTGAAATATGGACACATATAAGCTCGTGTATGTCTGAACATAGAGGGAGACACTGCTGAAACAACTGGAGACGAACATGAATGACATGATGTCTACAGTGGAAGAGCTGGAGATTCACGAGGACTCTGAGGAACAGAATTATGATCTGTGAGTACTGACTCCCAGTCATTGCTTGTTTGATCCCTGTTCTTTCAGTGCTTGTGAATGAATCATTTGACTCCCGTCATTTCCTCTTGTCTCAAATTGTTGATCACTTATTTCCCCTGTTAGGTTTCTACAATGTTCTGAGATTATTCTTTCAAAATCCCATTATTGTTTGTCCAGATTTGGCATCACACAAAACAGCAGAGCACACATTTTTCAGGAACTTAATTTTTGTGCTTTTCATATCCTGAAGAGCAAGATCAAATGGTCCAGACATGTATTAAAACATGCCACAAAGTAGTACTTCACAGAGTGCCCTGTCACTAATATACAATGGAGGCAGTGTTAGAGGTAGCCTACTCAGTTTATGGATAGATGGACTATCTGAGGTCATGAATACCAGCATCCTGAGAGCACATACCAATACTTGTACTAGATGCCTTCTCAGGATATGATTTTGCTGTGCAAAATTGGGACTTGAGGAAAAAAAAAGAATACATTTTAATGCTAGTTATGATATTTCTTGATACTGACTGAGCTTGTACTTTCCTCAGATTTCTGGAGTCCCTCACTCAGAAAAGACGAGCACAGCAGGAAAAACTGTCAGAGAAAGTCACAGCAGATGCCACCTTGAAGCAGGATAAGTCTGGAAACTTGATAGGGAAAGATGGGGCCCCGGTGACTTTGAGTAGTGCCCCTAGCCCCATTGGTGGCAGTCAGCCATTTAAAGCTACCCCGGTTAGTGGAGGGATATTTGCTGCCACTGGTATGTGTATATAGTTTTTGCTGCTTATTATTTCTATATAGGCTGGAATATTTTCATGGGCAAAGTATTGGGTGAAAAGTTTATGCTAAAGTCTCTGTCTGTCCATCTGTTTGCTTGTATGTATAATCTGCAGTCTTCTGTCTCTCCCACTTTCCTTCTTTGACTGTCTGCCTGTCAATCCACATTACTGCCTGTCTGTATGTCTCTTTCACTGTGTCTCTTTCTTTGTCTCTGCACCTTCCTGTCTGTTCATTTGACTGCATGCATTTATGTCTCTCCCTGTCTGTTTCGGTCCACTCTTCACTTCCACTTCCTGTTATCTGCTTGCTTTATATAGTTCTTTTCTGTCTTATTCTGCAGCTTCCTGTCCATCATCTGCCTGTTTACCTTTATATCCTTTATTGAGAAAGCGGGAAGGAAGCAAGGCAGGGAGAGACCAAGAAAGATGATGTGTAGCATCATGGCATGGAAGAACATCTAAATCCCAGATGGCTGGCAGTTCACAAGATAGAAGTGAAGCACACAGCAAGCAGCTAATTTATCTGCACACAGAGACCAGGCCCTTTAGGATAACGTAAGACAGTAAAGTCGATCTTCTCGACTTAAATTATAAGCATTTATTGAATTCAGTTTTATTTGTTTGTCTGGTACAACTTTAAGAAAAAATTGTTGCTAGTATTTAGTTTTTGTTGTTGTTGTTTTTGTTTCATTTTTGTTGTTGATTTCATTATGGTCTGATTCCAGTCCCCAGGTCAACTTCCCAACCTACATTACCCAGCACTCTGCCTGTAGGCGGGGCCGGAGACAACAGCACAACCAATCACCAGTCAGAATACATAGCCACCTCAAGTAGGAACAGCCAGTCAGAAACAAATACTCCAGTGATCACACCAAGCACAGAGGCTGCCAAGACTGGCATATTTTCAAGGTTATTTAAGGGCAGCAAAACCCAGAGCACGTCCGTGACCCCACCGAAAACTTTAGGTAACTAGTAACTCACATAATGCCACAGATTTTAGGTCTTGTTTTCCTTTCTAGAAGCAGAATTGCCGAACCATACATGGTTGTACACTGATCAAACTGGTCAAGACGTATCTACACCACTCTTTGATCGTCCTAGAAATAGACCCATCCGGAAGCTTGGCCAACACAGGTAGAATCAGTGTTTCTTTTAAAGCCGGAGTACATCTGCCTGAGAGGTAAGGAACCAACAGTCCACACACAAATAAGCTAGATCTGTTAAATGGGTGTGCATACAACACTCAGGTCCTGGAACAAAACCAGAGTCCAGAAGTGGACGAACAACCATAACTTTTTGCTGAGGTTTACAGACTGCTGAACGTGAAGAAGAAGTCTCCAATGTATCTTAAAGTGGTCGAGGAACTTACATGTGCTTATGTCTCCACCTTCTGGATTCCTTGCCGTCCAGGATTCACCTGGCTGGTCTGGCTATTACTGGGGCTCTAATATATTTTCTTTGCAGGTTGAACAGGGGTATCTGGGATCTATCTTGTTGGTCTGCCATCCACATTGAGATCTTTAAATCTCAGGATGGTATGGTATATCTTTAGGTAGCACCTGGAGGGGACAAACTGAGTGATTGGTTGATCTGTTTCCATGTGTTTCACACAGCAGCAGTAAGGTAACTTGTGTCTCTGCTACAAAGATTAGACAAGATTCATGAAAAGATAGCAAAGCGAATGAAAAGTGGAAACAAGCCAGCTTCACATTGTGACAAGTGAACATTGAGGCTAGAAAGCCTTCATCAGCACAATGCAGGAATATACAATACAACACACATAGTTAAGAATGCACTTATCTGAAGAGTCTGCCAGAGGAAACATATCTGGCTGACAAGATTAGGACAGTGAGAACCCCCCGACCAAGCATATCATAAAAGATGACTGATTAGGATTGTCTCATTAGAGGTTGGAGTGCCTCTGCCTGAAAGGCGAGGAGCCAACAGTCTGCTTACAAATAAGCCTGATCTGTAAATGGTTGTGCATGCAAAACTGAATTTCTGGAACTAGACAAAAGTCCAGAAGTGGATAAACATCCAGAAATTTCCATCAGAGTTTACAGTCCGTGAACACCAAGAAGAAGAAAAACAATTTCTTCTGGAGGAGTTTTTGAATGATGTTGACATTTCATGTGACTGTTTGATTTTTCTAGCATTATTTTACTTGGAAATTAGGGAAACACAGAACAGAGAATCCTTATATTGATTTTGATTTGATTTTGATTTGATTCAAGAACTGACATCACAGCACAGAGAATCCTTATATTGATTTGATTTGATTTGATTTTGATTTGATTAAAAAACCAACATCAAAGCACTTGGGGCATTCCCATAAGTGCTCCATCCCCATCTTCAGCAGCCAGCGCATAGTTCCGATACTAATGGTGCTAGTAGCGTTCTGATTAAACGTCAGTCTTGCCTTTCCTCTGAGCCTCGAGCATCTGCCAGAACCTCTCGTCACTCCCCGCTGCATCAATCTCACCAGATTGTGATGATCCATCTGCTCCTCCGAACTGTACACGCTCTCCCACAAGGCACTAACCACGTCTGCCTTATCATGCATTAGTATTCCACCAAGTTGTGCAGAGCCAGCAAGTCTGTCCGACTGTTTATTTCCCAACACACCGGCGTCTCCCAGAGAAAAAATCCAGACTCCTTATATTGAAAGACATGGAATAAGTTGGAGGGGAGAGTGTGTTGAGAAGAGGTTCTATAAGATATTCAACACTGAGTTAGAAAATATAGGCAGACTTTTAATCAGGTTCTAACTGATACTTTTTCCTCCTTACATTCACCAGCTGTAAACTCCAGCAGAAAGTCCTGGTTGTTTGTCCATATTCGGACTTTAGTCTTCTCCGTGAACTTGAGTGTTGTGTGCACATCTGTTTTTTTTTTTTCAACAGATCTGGCTTATTTCTTCAGAGTGTAGGTTCGTCATCTCTCAGGCAGATGCACTCTGACTTTGAAAGAGGTACCCCTGTTAGTTTACTTTTTACAACATGTTGGTAAGGAGGGGCAGTGGGTCTATTCTTATTCCCCCACCCCCACCCCCTCGCTCCACATTGGGGCTCCAAAACCCACACAGCAACCAACTAGTACTATTAGCATCATGTCTCTTTGTTGGCTACTGAGGACGGGAATGAAGCATGTGTGGGAATGTCCCGAGTGCATTCTTGAATCATTCATCCATAGCTAGGATGACCCTATTCTGGTTGACGAACAACCAGAACTATCCCCCAAAGTTTATAGCAAGTAAACACTAAAAAGAAAAAAAGATACTGTAGTTAGGAGGCCTGCATAGCGAATTTGTCAAGTCACTCTGAAGATTCACGGTTTTTCATGGATACTCCATGAGTGCGTTTTTGTGTGGAAACTTGTCACTGGAGCTACAGTGTTCATGCTGTATGCGACACTCTTGGCAGGTGTCTAGCTGTTCTGCTGAAAATGACTGAGCCATATGAGTTAAAACCCAGTTTAGTAAAGTCGACCCTCTCGACTCTTAAAAAAAAAAATATTGTAATTACTTGTTAACATGGTGCCGTCTGTTTTCTATGCAGATTTGTCATTAGCAGAAGCCCCACAGCAGGTGGTGAAAAGTGTGGAGGACTTTGTCCCTGAAATTGATGGCCTGGATAGCGGGTTTCTCGATGATGCTAAAGAGTTGCCAGGGACCAAGGATTCTGGGAAAAATGAGGAAGATGACAGGTAGTTTTACTCTTGCTGGTCATTTGTTGTGATTGGAATTTGTTAAACATCACCTGTAATGTCTCAGCAGTGGTAGTCAGTCGGGCAGGTGAAACAATACAGGCCTCTTTTCCACATCTACAGGTGTGGTTGTGGTGCTTTGCTGGAAAAAATATCATCACGCTCAAACAGCATCCCCAAAGGGGAAGCTTTAAGTTATAATTGTGACTTGGTTATGTGCACAATATAAAATGGCTTTGCATTGCATACCACCAAGAGCCCTGAAAAGAACTCCTGCAGTGTTGATGCGATCAAGGGAGACAAACCCAAATGCTATTCCGACCAGCGATAAAGTCCGGTCGCCAATGACAGGTGTCTTGGTCCCATAGTGTTATACATTAGTGTACTCCCCGTGAGGGTTTCGGGGCCTCAGTGTGGGGAAAACAGGAGTAGACCTGCTGCCTCCCTAAAAGGCATGTTGTAGGAGTCGACTAATTGGGGGCATCCTTTGAAGTCAGAGTACATCGGCCTGAGAGGCAAAGAACCAACAGTCTGCATAAGATAAGCAAGATCTGTGAAACGTGCACACAACGCTAAAGTTTGGGAACAAAACTAAAGTTGAGGTGGACAAACACTCACAACTTTCCATCATATACAGCCAGTGAAAGTGAAGAAGTAGAAGAAGAATGGTGAACCACAGAACTGATAGAGGGAGAATAATCTGTTGGATAACAGCTTTTATAAACCAGTCAACACTCAGCAGGTGATATGCTCAGTATCATGTTATCATTCTTTATTTCTAAGAAAAGTGCCATGCGCAGGTGATGTGTTCGATTCCTTGTATGGTAACTATAGCTTTTGATTTTTATGTAGTCCAGTGTGTCCTTCTATCTCGACTTATTTCATCTGCATCTGTGAATTCCAGTAAGAGCATGTCAGTTTGTTTATCATATTCTTTTTGTGTCACTTTTTATCCTGTTGATTCTTATTTTGTTACTTTTTAATGTTTTCAGTGTTGATTTTTCACCATCTGACATTTTATGAGAAATAACAAATAATGTTTCCTTAATGAAGTTGTTTATCATTCTCAGCGATGACGAGGAGGCCAATCCAATGGTGGCAGGTTTTCAAGATGACCTGGACTCAGAAGATGAAAAAACAACTTCTCTGGTTACTGTTTCCACGTCTGCTCATCCGGATTCTTCATCAGAAGATGAAGGTTTAGTCAATAAAGTTGGTAGACAACCAGGCGCACAGCGTAAAAGCAGCAATGACGAGGAAGATAGTGATGTTCCAAGTGCATTGAACCCTGCCGTCACACAAGATGCTGACGTAACAAGTGATGAGGAAGAGGCGCCTACTTCTAAAAATGAAGCTGCTTCAAAGCTACTTCAGGCGGTTAAGCATTCATCCAGTTCTGTTTTCAAACAAAAGCGAGTTCCAGTAGCAGATGTTCATGTAACAGAATCAGAAGGTGATGATGTTGAAGATAAAATATGTGATAATGGAAACACAAACACTTTCAAGCTTTCTTCAAAAGCTGCTGAGGCAGTTTCACACAGTGCAATAAAAAATAAAAGCGTCAAGCCTGATGAGACCAGCCAATCCGCAGAATCAAAGGAGAGTAGAAATAATGGTGATGCCGGGCCAGAAGTTGACGCAGGCAGCTTTGATGCCGAGGATGGTGGTAACTCGGTAGCTGCTGTGGAGGTCCCTCAAGAGATGTTCAATGATTGGCTTGACCAGTTTGAAGCCAAGGTTGGTATATATGTTACTGATTTCTTCTTTTTCCTTACTTCTTCTTTCACTGCTTCGGTTAAAGGTTAAAGTCAAGATGATCGGCATCATTGTACCAAGTTTTATCCCCACACGATTTGGCCTCTCTCCGCAGAACGGCTAACCATCTGCCAAGAGCCTCGCACAGAGCATGAACTCTGTAGCTCTAGTGATAATTCCCAAGATACTCCTTGAAAATCTGCACTCCTGAACTGAAAGATGCAGCCATGAAATTAACCCACAACAGTCAGAGCTGAGGCAAATGGCTTCACCACTTCGCGACAGAGACCGGCACCACTTCGGGTGTCGAGGAAGAAGTAAGTTTCTTGCTCTTCTGGGGCCTCGACCTTAGACACATTGTGCTGATGTAGAGTTTCTTTGATGTTATCTGTCCATGTTGTTCTTGGTTTACCTTGTGCTCCACCTCTTTTTCATTTGGTGAATGCCTTATATGGTATGGCATCACAAAGCATTCTTTCTAAGTGGGCAGACCATTTGATTTGCTGTCTGCATGTCATTGGTTACTTGCCATTGTACTATCACTTACACTACTTTCTTGTATATTTGCCTCTCATTTGTGTTGTCTTCCAAAAATGTTCTGCATCTAATTTTTCTTCAACATTCATAGCCCTTGAGGTTCATTTGCGCAGATACCATCCACCTGTCTTCATCTCTCTCATTGGCCTTCTCCTTCAAGCTGATGACTTTGTATGTGTAGGTCTGCACTAAATTGTCTGTCCACAATTTTCTTGGTCTGTCTTATGGTCTACACCCATTCAACACTTTTGTTAATCAGTCATTATATGTTATGTCTCTCTCTTTATGTATGCCCACTGTTCCTTGTCCTCATTGTCCTAGAACCTTCCCGGCCCGTTTTTGGCTTATAAGTCACCTCCGGACTCACGGACAATCAGCTATAGTTTCATGACAGATGATAGAAAGAGTGGTCTTCATCACTTGTGATGGACGAACAACAAATCTGTCATTCTCTATAGGACCCAACTATCATAGTCTGTTAGTTATAACTACGAAACAGATTTTCTGAAACACCTGAACAGAACAGACCAAGTCACTGGACACTGGACACTGCAGACTCAATAAACACTCATATAAATTAGGTATAAGCCAAACTTCTCTCTGCCAGTGTCTTCGTGCTAAACAAACTCCAGAACATGTCCTGCAAGACTGCCCTCTCTTGGCAAAGCTACTGAGCAACATATGGCAACACCCAGTAGAACTGACAACTAAGCTTTGGGGAAACCCAAGAGACCTTAAAAAAACATCACAGTTTATGGCCCACAGTGGATTATGCGCATGACCAGAAGAAGAAGATAGTCTGTTAACCTTCATGATGCCAGTAATTAGTGGTGATTTAAACATGGATTTGGTTGTTGCTTCTTGCTCAGAGCCTTGTTGGCTATATGTCTATTGAATATCAGTTGTGTGTATGGAATGTTGGTTACCTGCCTATTGAATATTGTTTTTTTAAAATAAATGTTGCTTATGAAATATTTGTTTTCCAACATTTAACATCAACAGAAAAAGCCACAGACAGACAAGGAGGTAAAACCTGCAGCAAACAAACAAGTCAAAACCAGAAGTAAAGAAGTGAAGATACAAAGTGATGATAATGATGACGATGATGATGACAGCGACGAGGATAACCATGTTATTAAAGTCAGTAAGTAATCATTAGTGGTAAATGGATGCATGACAAGTTAGATGACAAGGCCCTTTAGGAGTGAGTGAGCATTGCAGAGACACAAATAGATCATCACAGTTTGGAGACAGTTGTGCAGCAGGGAGTGACAGGTTAGATGACAAGGCCCTCTAGGAGTGAGTGAACATTACAGAGACACAAATAGATCATCACAGTTTGAAGAAAGTTGTGCAACAATGAGTGACCAGGTTTCTGACAGATACTCAGGGAAAAGACAAGATGGTAATACAATCAGGCTGGTTGCTGAAGATAGAGATGGAACGCTTATGGGAATTCTGAGTACAGCGATATCGGTTCTAAGGTATATAATCATGACAGTTCTGTTAGTTCAGAGTTCAGATTTTAAGCTCTGATCGGTGCCTGGCATACAGTATAGGTAACCCCTTTATACGGCCAGATTAAAAAAAAAAAATATGCTGTGACCAAATATAACAAGCTCAGGAAATTATTATATGATTAGGGAGAGTCACGAGAAAGAAACAGTTACTCATAACACTTTTCTGGGACTGAAAGAGTTAATGGTTAGTATTTGTGCCTGCCAAGATAGGGCTCCTTGGGTCAGTCATCAGCAGCTGCAGGTTTGTTTTGTTGGTAATTCTGTGAGATTTCATCCAGCCTTATAAAATTGGGTACAGAATGACCACATGTTACAGCTTCCCCACATGTGCTGCATTCCCCTCCTCAGCAGCCAATGAAGAGTTTCTATACGGATTGTGCCAGTTGCAACCCGATTACAAATATGCCTATATTTTACCCCTACATGTTGAAAACCATCTAGATCCTCTACTAAGTGCTTTATTAATATCCTACCCCAGGTGACATCACAGGACAATTCAACATTTTAGAGGGTGGTAAGACTGGGTTTCCCAGCTTCCTTATGCTTTTAACGACCCCAGAACATCTAGAACTATCCCTAACCCCAACCCACCTATGTCCCACGAGAAAGTGCAGCTTAGGTCCCACGACTGCATGAAACCTATGTCCCATGACTGCATGCAACCTATGTCCCATGACTGCATGCAGCCTATCTACCGCCCCCTGAAATATTAGATAGTGACCTGTGGATTTCTCCTGTTTGGGGTAGGATAATAATAAAGCACCTAAGTTTCTTCTGAATCAGTCTGTCATGTGAGGGATTTTCTGCCCGTTATGTTGCACTGTTCAACTGATCCCAGAGAACTTACACCACATGATCTACTTTACGGTAATGAAGTGGAATGAAGAAATAAGAGAAATATCTAGGCAACCACTGGTATCAACTTACCGCTGTAAACTCTGGCAGAAAGTTCTGGTTGTTTATCCACTTCTGGACTTTGGACTTGTTCTAGGACTTAAGTTTTGTGTGCACATCCATTTTACATATCTTGTTTTGTTTTTATGTACAAGCTGTTGGTTCCTCACCTTAAGCAGAAGCATTTGAAATGAAACACCTCTAGTTACTACATGCTTGTGTTTTTGTTGCGAAGAGAAAGTGGGCCTGTTTATTGTCCCTGCAAAAGTTGGGCTATTAAATCCCATAAGGAAGGTGGAAGCTATTTGATAATATTTTTTCCACTAATTTTAAAATATTTCCCTAGAACAAATCTCGTCAGACATCGAGGAGGAGATTCCAAGCCAGTCAGCAGGGAAGAAAAAAAAGAAATTAAAAAATAAGGTAAGGAATTGATTCTCTCATTTTATACCAAGCATTACATTAGTCATAGTATTGTAACCCTTTTCTAACATTAGTCATAATATTGTAAACCTTTTCTAACAATAGTCATAGTATTGTAAACCTTTTCTAACATTAGTCATAGCATTGTGAACTTTTTCTAACATTAGTCATAGTATTTTAAACCTTTTCTAACATTAGTCATAGTATTGTAAACCTTTTCTAACATTAGTCATAGTATTGTAAACCTTTTCTAACATTAGTCATAGAATTGTAAACCTTTTCTAACATTAGTCATAGCATTGTGAACTTTTTCTAACATTAGTCATAGTATTGTAAACCTTTTCTAACATTAGTCATAGTATTGTAAACCTTTTCTAACATTAGTCATAGTATTGTAAACCTTTTCTAACATTAGTCATAGTATTGTAAACCTTTTCTAACATTATTCATAGTATTGTGAACCTTTTCTAACATTAGTCATAGTATTGTAAACCTTTTCTAACATTAGTCATAGTATTGTGAACCTTTTCTAACATTAGTCATAGTATTGTGAACCTTTTCTAACATAAGTCATAGTATTGTAAACCTTTTCTAACATTAGTCATAGTATTGTGAACCTTTTCTAACATTAGTCATAGTATTGTAAACCTTTTCTAACATAAGTCATAGTATTGTAAACCTTTTCTATCTTTGCTCTTTTTTATTGGGTGTAGAGGTTGCTTTCTTTGTTGAAAAAAAAAAAAAAAGAAGTTTCATCGTACTCAAACACATAAAATAAAGTTGAAGTTAAAATCGAGAGGGTCAATTTCACTGCACCGGGTTTGATCCTATATGTTCAGTTCTCTCTCTCTCTCCGCAGAACGGCTAGCCACAAGCCAAGAGTGTTACACAAAGCATGAACTCCATAGTTAAAATAACAGCCCCCAAGGATCTCCTTGAAAATTGCACTTGTGAACTGAATGGCAATGCCGTGAAATGAACTCATGACCTTCAGAAAGCGAGGCAGACGGCTTGATCACTTTGCTATGGAGACCTCCCACCTAAAATAAGCTTTGCTTATTCAGTGTAATTGTAATCTTTGTCTGGTAATAACTGCTTCTTGAATTCTTATAGGACATTTCTGTTTAATATCTTTGTGTGTTTTTTGTGTGCGCACCATTCTGAGCAATAATGGTGCTTGTTGATTTCAAATTGGGTGCTTCTCATCCATGTCCATCACAACTTTGGTGGAGGAGCCCACTGTCAGTTATCTAAGGTTTTTTGGTTTCGTTGCCAGTAGGGACTAGTCCTTTGGTGTTCCCAGTTCGAGGTAAGGGTGCCTCTGCCTGAGATGCAAGATACCAACAGTCTGCATACAAATAAGCCAGATCTGTATAATGGATGTGCATGCAGAACTCAAGTTATGGAAAAAGACTCAAGTTCAGAAGTGGACAAACAACCAGAACTTTCCGCCCGCCAGAGTTTACAGCAGGTGAATTCTAAGAAAAAGAAGAAGAGGAAGATTTAAAAAAAATGTAATTCTAACATCAAATGCTGAGGCACCACTGCCATAAAAAGGTCATTACTTATATACTTTGGTAGGCGTTCAATTTATTTGAGATTTAAATC